TTTTTTTTATTTTTCTGCAAGAATCTTGAATAGATAAGGTGAAATAGTCCATACACAGTAACAACACAATCCAAGATGACACAGATACGTACTACGACAAATACAAAAGTGATCAAATAAATCAATAACTCTCTCTCTAGACTGCCTCCTTCCAGACGTCCTCATCAGCAGCAGCACTATACTAACACCTCTCTCCCTAATGACTAGAGTTATTAAGACAAGGAAAATAATTCTCCTGCAAAAGCCAAACAAAAGAAAGAGGGAAAAGTTAAAGGCTTGTTAAATAAGTTTGGTACCATTTGAGATGCCACTGCCAACCAAAAAGAGTTAAAGGCCACCCACCATCATCACTTTCCTCAGTGAACCCCACACCTTTTAACTTATCAGAGACATGTTGATGGATCATTAAGAAAAAATGCATCACGGTGTGGGGCCTCATTGGGAATTTTATGCAACAATCAAATTTTATACGACCGTTGATGCATATGAGATTCACAATGCATCGACAAACAGATAAAAGCATTTTAAAATTCTAGATTTCATAAATGCTATGATGATGATGTGTGATGATGATGGTGATTCACAGTAAAAGTGGGTTATGAGCAAAGGAACATAGTTTCACCTTTTTTTTCCCTTAATTCTCAAGTAGTCTTTTTTTTTTCTTCTTTTTTTTTTCCCTCTATCTTTTCCGCCGTCCATTCACATCTTGATTTCTGATTAAAAGGCTTGAGCACTTACTGCTCTGAGCAACAAGACCACTAACATGGGAATCAAACCAATCACATGGCATCTCTCCTGATAAAAGAAGAAAGCACCATCACAACAAAAATCAGAACTAAACAACCCAAAATAGCAAAAATTAAACCAAAAAACATATAAATTAAGCAACTGTATGCTGGCATATGTACATGCAAGCCGACGTCGTTTTCCACGAAATGCCCTATTAAATTTGTCCCAATCAAACCCAACGGACACGACCCTCTCACAAGGAAAAAAATCATCCTAAATCTTATCAACATTGAATGACCAATATCCGTTGGACATCTGGTCCACTAAAAACTCAGCTGCTTAACACAGTAGAACAGGAAAACAGTAAACAGTAAAAATGAAGGACTTGCCGTGACCGCTGCGGACGAAATTGCCAAGTAGCCAGAACTGGAAGTTCCCGGTGCAGAGGGAGTAATCGGATTCACCAACCCGCCCGAACCCGAACCCGAATTCGAACTCGAGTTACCGTTACCAAAGGAGCTGTTGCTCACCGACAGCCCGATTGAGTACGCGGGCGACCCGTCGGGTTTGAAAAGCCCAAAGTTCCTCTCGGAAGTCGGGCCGGGTTTCATGTTCTCATTGAACAGAGCGAAGACGTAGATGTTGAGATCCGACCCGGGCCTCAGCGGCGTGCCCTTCTTCTGGCAGATGAGCTTGATCAGATTCCCGTTATACTTCTTCGCGTTCTCCGGCGTCGCTCCGGCTTCGTCCTCGTCGCCCTTTGATGGCCAACCGGTCTCGGAGATGTGAACCGGAAGCTTCTTAAACCCTAGCGCAGCTAGGGCGGAGTAAACGGCGTCGATCTGAGCGAAGAGCATGTTGTCGTAGTGGAGACTGGTGCCCGAATCGAGCGAGCCGGAGTTGGGCTGGAAGAGGACGTAGTCCAGAGGCACCTGCTTAGGGTTTGACTTGTAGGCGAAGTAGGGGTATGCGTTGATCAAGAACGGCGAGCCTGTTTTGGAGTGGAAGTTGAGGATCGGAGTGATGCAGCCGGTCAGATCTTGCCGGAAAGCTCCGGCCGACGGCGGGAACGAGGTCTCGAGAATGGAGAGGGAATGGGCGGTGGTGACGGTGACTTGCTTGTCGAGATTGAGAGAGACGAGGGCGGCGTGGACGCTTTGCATGGCGGGGAGGAGATTGTTGCTCAAAGACGTGTCGTTGAAGGTGAGGACCTCGTTGCCGACGAAGATGCAGGTGATGTTGGTGGCGGGTAAGTGGGCCTGAACATTGGACTTGACCCAGTTTTGGGCCTGGGCCGGGTCTTGGACCTTGGTGAGGTACTCGTTGCCCAGGCCTACTATGAACTGGACGCCGGTGTTGGCGAAGGCCTTGAGGACTTTGGGATCGGCGTCGTAGAGCTTGATCTTGGAGATGCCGATGGACTTCACCAACGGAACAACGTCGTCCGGCGAAGGTAAGTTGTTGGCGATTTGGCCGTAGTTTATCCCCATTGAATTCACCATTTCAGCAAACACGAACCCTTTTGAAAACAAAAACACAAAAACAGAGATAATGCTGTAATTAGTTAACCAAAATTCAAAAAGAGTAAAAAGATCAAAGCTTTGAAGCTAAATTGGAGGATGAGGAGCAGGGTTTTAGCTATCAGTGCCTGAAATGATTAGAATTGATAAGAATAGTGAAGAGCAGTAGCTGAAGCTAGTGCTGGTCGCCATTCTTAGTGCTCAGCTTGGAGACTGCAAAAGGGAATTAAGCAGAAATGTAGAAGCTGCAGCAGCTCCAAATTGGCCAACAGTGAGGAGAGAGAGTGACCACTGTATATAGAGCTCTTAGTCTCACTCCCTCACTCTCAGAATTCAGAAATGAGCTGGGACAATGGGTTATAGGTCAAATGCCCAATGTAGGCACGCAACTGTGAAAGCTATGGGTTTGCGAGAGAGAGAGAGAGGATAAAAAATGTGAGCTTTGAATTTGGTTGGTATCGGGTAGATATTTAGGGCTTATAGGGACGGCACGGAGGGCAGGTTTAGGGGTAGAAACTACAATGGGGACCAAAGGGAATAAATGAGTGTCTCTATGTTTACAGTGTCATACAAAGAAATGTGATTTGGTGTGATTTGGTGTGAGTGATTTTTTATTCTTCCCTCACACTTGAATCCTATGATTGATGCATTGGTGCTGGCTTTGGCGGTGGTGATGGGTTTTGAGTTATACAAAGAAATGTGATTTGGTGTGATTTGGTGTGAGTGATTTTTTATTCTTCCCTCACACTTGAATCCTATGATTCATGCATTGGTGCTGGCTTTGGCGGTGGTGATGGGTTTTGAGTGGGGTCCAGTGACTGTTGTCCGACAAGCTTCACATGATCACCATTCCCAATCCACTCAAATCTGGGAGCTTTTTATTATTTTACTTTTTGTGAAGGAGGAAGGGTAGGCTGCACTCACAAACTTTGCTTTATTTTCTATTGACCTTTTCTCTTTTCGCTTCTTTTTCACGAGGAGGAGCTGTTGGGCTGTTATGTTGGTTTTCTCATGGTTCAAGAAAAACGGCAGAGCCATTGCCATAGAGCACCAGATACGTGGCATGCATGCCAAGCAAAGGTGAGCAAAAACAAAGCAGTGTGAATCAACCTTTCGCCGTTTCTGGCTGCAAGAACAAATATCTTATCTCTTATCTCATGTCTCAACTCTTGCTTCATATTCAATGCAACAAAAATGAAAATTTAGCTCTAAAGTCCACACACATCTGTCACTGATACGTAAATCAAATGTCTTTTCTCAACCATGAACATGAACTTTTACAATTAGTTGCATTTAATTAATCTTAGGGATATATTTAATTTTTAGCTAGATGTTAAGTTGTCAAGTTGAGCATATTTTAAAGTCGAACTAATCATAGCCAATCCGGTATCAATTGGTTGAGTTCTTCTACTTTCACCAATGTTGGCAAGTGTTCGAAATCTCAAGCACCCAATAAATATTTGTGTAACCATCCCCAATCGCTTATACCAAAAAAATTTAAACTAATCATTTTGGAGTGTTTGTGTGCATATCAATTTTCATGGTTTATCTGTTTTTGTCCGTATGTATGATAAGAAAAACGAAAACTCCCACCTAGAGCATCATTTGGAGCAATTGGATTGATTACTTGAGTCATAATTTACTATTATTCTGCCTTCCACCATGCTGCCTTTTGTTGTCACTTTTGATCTTGTGGGTTTTCTGCTTTGTATAATCATTTTCTCTTTACCGCACGCTCATGGTGATCGTTATTGCTACTATAATTATTCTAGTTTTCGGTTATATATTCCTTTTGTTTTTTTCCGGGGATCCGTAAGCTAATTTGAGTATCTTCGTCTCCATTTTGCAGAGACTGAAAGATACATAAAATCTCTTAACCAATTAAAACCTTGTCAACTTGGAACTGCATTGCTGTAAAGACAAGGTGAAATGTCACCATCTTGCTATCTTAGCCGACATTTTTGTGCATTATAATTGCTGGAAATTGATCAATTATTCTAGTCTGGTATGTACATGATGTTGAAAATGGTATTCTTGTTGTATTAGTTATATGTTATTTCATAGCGAGGTTTCTTATTAGCATCTCCTTCACCTTCTAGGTCAAAAATGCCAACTCAAATCTTCCATTTTCTCAGAAGTCTGAGTTATAGACTTTGCTCAATTTCTTGTTTTCGTTTTCGACAACCACCACACCAGCAAAGAGAAGAAAAAAGAGGGGAGAAAAACCCTACGAAAACCATAACAGAAAGGGGGGAAAACAAACTTTATTTTATTTTTCTGCAACACTAATTTTTATTTTGTTTACTTGCAATATGTATTACAAGTACAAGACTAGGCAAGCAAAGCAAAACTTGTTCTTCAGGTCTTCATAACCACAGCAAAGAAGTGTCGGATTCTAAATTATGCACAACTCGAAGATAATTTTTCACCCTCACAAACTTAATTGATTACAGAAAAGCTTAGATTCCCACCAAAAGCATATGGCTCTCACTTGGAGCTGGAGGTCAAGAACCAATAGCGGCTACCACTGGTGGAAGTTAGCTTACTTATAGGTTAATATTATACTAGAAACTTAATGCTCAGGGAGTGGGAACATTTTCCTTGGCAAGAGGAGCAATCTCTTCCCCTTCAATTCCAGGTTCGCCACCGGCAACTTCCAGGCTCAAAAGCATCTTTTCCCATTGTTTTGAAGGTCCCTGCATTCGATCCGACACGGTTAATTGCAAACCAAGCAACATTAAACTCAAAATTTATGAGAGAACTAGCTGCTTAGCAACTGAGTATCGTACGAACCTTCCACGAAAGATCTTGGGCCATGCAATTCTGGATCATCTCATTTAACGCAGGAGTACCGTATGCCGCAAGAGCTCTCTTGACAGTAGTAGCAATTGCAGTCACATCTGCTGGGTCAACTTCATCACACTAAAACAACCCACCAAAACACATAATTCATTATTTTGAAGATAAGTGGAACAGAGGAATATAAAAAAGTAGTGCAATTGTGTGACGTCACAGATGCAAAGCAAGTCATTGACTTACTACGACGTTGAAAGCTCCCATTTGAAATCCTGTAAAGCCTTCTTTGACAGTGTCAACAAGTCCACCGGTTGAGGCAACAATAGGCACCTAAAGATATTGCATTCAGCATAATTAGAGGAAGTGACTGATAGTTTAAGACATTGGTTGTTAATGTACAAATCTAGCTCCTTACCGTTCCATATCGCATAGCATGCAGCTGAATGAGACCACATGGTTCAAATCTACTTGGGATCAACATAAAATCAGCACCACCAATAATCATGTGGGCTAATGGCACATTGAAGTTTGCCACTCCTACAGCCTTGCCCGGATATTTGATCTCCAGCTGTTTGATCTGCGTCTCCAGATACTTCTTGCCAGTTCCCTAATAGAAACAACATCCTTCCATCAAACTCACCTCTATGCCTACTGCTGACAGCAACAGGGTAAAGAAAGCTGATTCATCAGATACTTACAAGGATTATTATTTGTACTTCCTCTCCAATGAATTTCGAGATGGCTTCTACTAGAATGTCTGAACCTTTCTGCTCCTCCAGCCTACCAATGAAGCCTATCACCGGGATGTCCCTATCAACTGGCAGCCCAACTTCTGCTTGAAGGGCCTCCTTCAATAGAGGCTTTGCATCCAGTACCTGGACATAAAATTCTGATCAGTACAAAAAATTTCCTGCCAGCCATGTCAAGGTATTGAAAACCCTTAGGATTTACTTACAGTTGTGTTATCATATTTGACATCTAGGTACTTGTCTCTGGCTGGGTTCCACTCTTGAACGTCCATGCCATTTATAATACCAGTGATTCCGGTCTTACGGATGATGCTATCTAATTCCACACCTTTGTCTTCTCCAGAAATAAGTTCTTGGGCATAGTATGGGCTCACAGTCACAACCCTGTCTGATTCCAATATTCCAGCCTTCATCCAATTGATTTTCCTTCCCTTCACAGGCTTGTCATACCTGCAAATTTAACCAAACATTCAGAAAGAGGAAAATTTTGCCAAATCCACGAAGTAAACTTTCGAGCCCTTCATATAGTTGCTACATCAAATGTGTAATATATACCCATCAATGAAGTCAAAAGAACCCCTAAGTTGGTCGGGCAAATCAAGCAGTGAGAAGTCCGAAAAGGAAAATCTGCCCTGGTAAGCTATGTTGTGGATGCAAAATACAACCTGCCATTCATTTAATAAGCGTTATTACAGTTTTCATGTAAAATAATGCTCTTCAAACTCAGGGCACCTTACCTTGGCATTTTTGTAAAGACCCCTTGGCTTGTGGATGGTTTTTAAGTAGCAGGGAATAAGAGCAGTGTGCCAATCATTAGCAACAAATACAACATCCTCTCCTGCAATGAGGTAGCCAAGGATACATCCTTAATAATATGCTATTTCTTGAAGAAATCATACTCTTTTTTAAAGAAAAACAGTGAGATGCACACCGTATGGTCCGGAGAAGTATTTGTTGCTGTTCAAATTAAGAACCCTTGGAGCCTCCAGAGCAGCCTATAAGTTTAAAAAAAGACTAATTCATAATTCAACTTTATTCATATATGAGTCATCACAACAGGAAAATTAATTGTTCTAGACAAGTTAGAAAAAGAAAATGAAAGAAAAGAGCATGACATGCCTGGCACAACAAGCTGAAGCGCAGTTGGTTGTCCTTGTAATCCTCTCCTGTCTTGGGACCATAGATTTTGGATCCAGTTTTGCCCCATACCTTCATATCCAGAAAGCCAAGCATCAGTCAAAGATCTAATTGAACCCTCATTCATACAATAATCTAGAAACATATGGCCTTAGACAACGAAGAGAATATTCATACCCTCTCAAGGAACAATGGGTGATCCACAAAGACACGATCAACACCGCGCTTGTAGCAATGGAAGAAGCGAACAGTTTCAATTTTACCACCGACTTCCATCTGCATAATCAAAACTTCTGATCATGTGAGGCACATTTTCCTAAACATACATTACTCGCTAAATAAGAAAGAAGCCCGGAAACAACATTAGATTCTTCAAGTTCAAGAGGGATATACTAACTGCAAGACTTACCTCAACCAGTACATTAGTATCCCATGCATCTTTGTATTGATCATAGCGTGGAGACACGGTCATAACACGGTGCCCGTTAGCCTAGAAATCAATCATCAGGCACAAAAATCAGTCAAACTAAACCAGAGAAATGAAAAACATGGATCAAACTCAAGTAATTCACAAACCGCCAGAGCCGGTGGGAGGCCTCCAAGAACATCACCAAGACCACCAGTTTTGCTCCATGGACCGACTTCAGCCCCCACAAAGATCAAGTTCATGCCTGTCCCACATACAATCTTCCCCACGCACTGATCACCCTCGGTCTTGTCAGCTTTCTTCATGGCTTGCCTAGGAACTGCATTAGGACGGGTTTTGATTCGAAGCATATCCAATTTGCTCAAAGACCTTAGCCCGTTGTGAGTCATTGGCTGGTTCCAGAGGCCCATCTGCCCCAAGTTTGTTCTGGTTTCTGATCCTGAACCTCCATTTACATGAAAAGTCCTAGATACAAAGTGTGAGGCTACCAAAGTCGACATATCTGATAACCTTGCTCTGAAACACATAACCAAACAAATCTTATAAAATTAGAAACATA